TAGCTGTATTGGTTTCTGTGTTATGTCATCTTGTGTATTAATGTGCAGTTTTGTTTACTATTACTGGTTTTCTGTTCAGAGGACTCCCTTTAGCATCTCTTGTAAGGTTAGTCTGGTTTTAACAAATACCCTTAATTTCTGCTTATCTGGAAATCTCCTAATTTCACTATCATGCTTGAGGGACAATTTTACTGGGTAGATAATTCTTGGTTGGAAATTTTTCTCTCTCAGGGTCTTATATACACCATCCCATTGCCTTCTCGCCTGCGTGGTTTCTGCTGAGAAATAAGAGCTCAGTCTTATTGGTCGCCCTTTGTAGGTAACTTTTCATTTTTCCCATGCTGCTTTCAGGATTCTTTCTTTGGTTTTGGTGAGTTTGATGATGATGTGTCTTGATGATTTTATTTTGGGGTCTGTTCTGTTTGGGGTTCATTGGACCCCAAATATATTGAATGGATATATTTTATCTTTCATCATATCAGGGAAGTTCTAACAAATCTTGGGCAATTTTCTCAGTGGTTTTATTTTTCTCTTCCTGTTTTGGAATTCCAATTACACGTAAGTTATCCTTTTGATGATATCCCACATGAACCTTAGGTTTTCTTCATTTTGCTATGATCTTTTTTCTGATTGATCCCTTTCCAAATAATTATTCAGGTATTTGTCTTCAGTCTCATTAATTCTGTCTTCCATTGATTCGATTCTACTCCTTTGCCCTTTCAATGTGTTATCTATTTCTGAAAATTTAGTATTCTGGATTTCTGTCCGTGGATTTTTTATCATTTCTAGTTTTTCATTTACTTTTGTCATTTTGTTCTTGTATTGTCTTTCCAAATTGTTCTAGGGTTTTGTCTATGTTTTTCTGAATTTTGTCATTATTTTCCTTGAGCTGTCTCTCAATTCATTGAAGGTATCTAAGTATAGTTATTTTGAATTCCTTAGCAGGGAGTTCCAGTGGTGCTGCTTCCTTAGGGATGTGTTCTGTATGTGTCCTGCTTCCTTATTTCTACTACTTTATCTTGCTTCTTTGTGTGAACTGTGATGGTCTCTTGTCTCTAAAACATTGTGATGTTTTTATGTTTCTGTTTAATTGGTGATGGTATGTTGGAGTGTTTGCCCAAGATTTTTTTTTTTTTTTTTGATGTTTCTAGGTAAGCAAGGTACTGTGTTCCTCTGTTCGCTAGTTGGCAGCACTTATGCACTCACCATCTGTCTCCTGGTGGGTGTGATAGGGAATGAGAGTGGCTCACCGATCTCTGTTAACTGTTTGTGAAGAGCAGCTAAGGGTGAGTCAGACTCTTATTGGTGGTTGTGTATTGTTGGCCAGTTGGTGCAGAAGGAAATGGTGGCACTCAGTAAGTAGAGCTGCAGGAGGTGCTGGTGTGGTTGCATCATATGGGTAAGGTTTCTGTCTCTCACTCAGTTAGACAAAAACAATTGAAAAACCATCCAAAAAAGTAAAAACAAGTAGACAAAAAACATACTGCATAAATACACAGGAACAATCACCAAATAGAGAAAAAAGAAAAAGAAAGAGGGGGAGGGGAAAAAGGAAAAGCAATAAAATGAGAGAAAATATTTGAAGAAATACTTTTTTTAAGAAAAATAAGAAATATGCAGAGAAAAAGGGAAAAAAACAATATCTGGGGAAGAGGAAATAAGAGGAAAGACATAGAATAGGAGAATAATGAAAAAAAAGAAAGGGAAAAATGCAAAAAGAAAGTCAAGGAATGGGGAAAACCACAAAAAAGAAAATGGGAACTAGAAATCGGGAAGAGAGAAAAAGCTGAAAACTGAAACTGGGAAGGGAAGAAGAAAGAATAATAATAAAAATGATGAAAAAAAAAGAATAATAATAATAATTTCAAAACAGACACAAACAAACTAAAAAAAAATCTGGGCAGTGCAGGGCACCGAGGCTCTGTCAGAGCACACAGACTGGAATGGAATTCCTGCGGCCCAAAAAGTGGGTAGAAGTGAGGGATGGCCACACGTCTGTTCACCAAGAGGGTGTGGGGTATAAGAGTAACAAGGGGAATATAGCACCTTTCCAGTCCTTCGTGTCTGGAATGTCCTTGCAGTCCCTGGCAAGTGGAACCAATTCTTAGATCCTTGGAATCTGAGAGAATGCTGTAGCTTTAAATTTCCAAAATAGTCGAAGCGCTTGTATATATTCAAAATATCTGTGCCCTCCAGACAGCCAAAAGTCCACAGCTCACTCCAACTCCCTCTTTACTGTTTACCTTTTTTGTTCATCAGCCACCAGTACAGTCCTCTGTGCAGCCCCTGGCTAGCAGGGCTGATTTTCAGGTTAATTCTTAGGTCCAAACACCACTTGGCAATATCCAAGCTGACTGTGCTGTTAGGGTCGCTGACAAACCACAGCTCCTTATGTCTCCATTTTTGGTGTTTTCATGCAGATTCTTCTACTAGTTGGAGTTCAGTCCACTTCTGTATCCTTCCTTTCACAGCTCATGGCTCCAGGATTATATTCTTTGACAATCTGTGTTAATTGATTCCCCCTTTCTTTGTTGAAGAGCGTCTGTGCAATTTGTCTGCCTATTCTGCCATCTTACCAGAACTCTTCTAGGTTCTTTTCTGTTTTTTACAGGGGATTTCCGGCATTCATTGGTATTTCCTAGGTGAACTATACATATCTTCATGGTTTGATACTTTTTGTGTGGCCCTGGGCTTCAGTCTGCCCTGTGATTTGTCTGTATTATGCACCTTGAAGGGATTGGTCAATTTGGTATTCATATAGTATCTTGAAAATCTAACCAGCAGGATTGAGTGACTTGCAGTCCATCAAGGGAATTGGCCAACTTGTGGTCCTGCTGAAAGAGCTATGCTTTGAAAATTGACAAGGAGTTTGCTTATATAAGCAACCAACCCCATAGAGGTTTTTCTGAGAAGAGAAGAAACAGGTTGAGAGGAAGTGATGAACCTCCTAAAAGAGCTGTGATAATGGATCATAGGGTGTAACACTGAAGACAGAAAGAGACTCAGAAGTGGCCCTGTGGCAGATCTGGCTGTGACAGGCCTAAAAGGGGTCCTATGGCAGACCCATCTGTGATGGTAGAAAGCTGCTGCTGGAAGAGAAATAGCTGAACAAACTGCTATATAGACTAAGACCTGGGCCATGTAACAGTGGAAAGACCAATGATGGGGAGGCCAAAGAAAGAGAATCCTGTACATCTGCGAGGAAGCTTGTATAGCTGAGAAAAGGGCCTGCTTGCTTACAGGGCTGAGAGAAGCTGAGAGAGCTGTCCTGGTGGGAAGCTGTCCTGCACTGAAGAAGGGAGGGATGTGCTGTCCTCATATGGGGAGCCTTCCAAACCTCACCCATGTACTTTCTGATCCTGATCCTGAATTGTTCCTGTTAATTCCAAGTTGATCTGATCCCAGGTTGTAGTCTGTGAATTCTATGTCCCATTGCAGTGAATTACTGAACACACAAGAAGTAGGGAGTGCCACGGGGGGAATGGTTGGTGTCAGAAATGGTGAAGAATTTGGAGTATGTCTGATTTCTACCTCATAGGAACCCGCTTTGTGCTGATCCTGATTCTTACCCTTGGAAATTTAGATAATTACTTATACTACATTACAGTTGTACTACTGTTTTAACTTTTGTGTGAGTTTGAAATTTTTCAAATGCAGCATATCCATAGAGCCTTTGAATGAATATGAAAGTGCAAGGAGTTGTTTTTTTTTTTTAATTTATAGGTATTTTATAAAATACAAACAATAATTTGAGATAATGGAAAGAATATTAGGTTAGAAGGTAGAAGATTTGAGCTAGAATCTAAATTACCATTGCTGCTGTTGTTGTTTTGTTGTTATGTGCCGTCGAGTCAGCGGCTGGTGGTTCAAATCCACCAGCCACTCCTCGGAAGGAAGGTTGGGCAATCCTACTTCCGTAGTGATACTGCCTCGGAAACCCAAGAAGGGGTCGCTATGAGTCGGGGCCGACTCGACGGCACATAACAACAACAACCATTGCTGCTAGTGTGAACTTTATGCAACTCTCAAGTTCTTCCTTTGGAAAAAAGTCATTGGCAAATGGATTTTACACTGTCTCATTTGTAAATAAGGGGATGCAGGTATTTGATGATTAACATAAAAAATTTGATAGAATTGTTTAATCCTAGCCTGATTGATTGAATAAGAATCATTTTTGAAGATCTTTACTAATGGAATACATTTGTAAGTATATTTTGAATGTGGTCCTACCTAATGCACACAAACCTGATGTTTTCTACTTTGGCTATTGTTTTTCCAGAAAATAAATAATTTCTTTTTCTTTTGTGAGCATATCTTCTCTAATGTTCCCATCCTTTAGAAATGTTAATGAGCAATCAAGTGGCTAAAAGTAACAGGGATATTTCCCTGAATTATGTTTGATTTCTCATTAATTTATTATTAGTAATGCTATCCATGTACTAAATGAAGCTCAGAAGCACTTATTTGCTGAGTTAGCATGATTAAGACTCTTAAGTTTTTTTTCCTCCATTGTGTTCCTTCAATAAGGATATTATTATTATTATTATTTAATTCAAATAAACTCATATAATTTTTATATTTATGCCTTGAGATAATTAACTTGAAACCTTAATAAAACATTACAGCAAAAACAAGCACTAACAGTATTAAGTGGAACATGATATCCTTGGAACAAGAGGCAAAGATGATGCTTCTGAGCAGTGGTTTTTAAACTGTTGGGAGAGGGGTGGAGGAAAACGGTTCTTACATGATTTGATAGGATTATCCTTCTTTTCCAGAGCAGCTCTATGTTGATTTTCCATGTGGGCTTCAAAATATTAAAAAATATTTCTATAAGAATGGATTTTAGGAGTACTACTTGGATTTCTGTTTTTCTTTTTTTTTTTAAATCTGTTCATAGAAATATATTGAAGGGCTTGGATGAAGCATCATTAGAGATTAACAACTGGATGGCATGAATTATTATTTAATGAGTAAAATAATGTTATTGTTATTAACAGAAACAGATATGCAATATGCAGCAAAAGTATACCGTGATGATAGACTTCGAAGGAAGGCAGATGCATTGAGCATGGACAACTGTAAAGAACTGGAGCGGCTGACCAGTATCTATAGAGGAGAATGAACTGGAATTTTTATTTACATCTTTTAGCATACTTCTTTTTTTTCTCTAAGTAAATTTAATTTCATCATGAGAGCTGAAGAAAAAGGTTTGATATTAAAAACTAAACTTGAACAGTTGCTCCCTCAAATCTTGGACTGTTTGTGATCTACGGGCTCCTTTAAATAGTAAGAAACTGAAAACTAAAATTAATATTTTAGTTATGTTTCTTTAATTATTTTCACATTAAAGCTTGTATGATTCCTAACTCAAAATGTCTCAAGAATGAATTGTCACATCTGTATCAATTTCCAGTTTTAGTGATTCTGTTTTTTCCTTTGTCATGTAAATATTTATAGAATGATCATTTCCTGTACATACAGGTTATTGCCTTTTTTAAAAAGTTTTTCAAGTGTTTAGCTCCATGAGATACTTCTGCTTAAATTGATGGAATAGATATTATATGACAGTTACATTTGCCTTGTCAGGTGTCAAATGTGTGGAGTTTAAACAATGAAATTTTCTCAAAAAGAAAAGAAAAAATCAAAACTGTTTAACTTTGTGTAAAATCTTTTAGAATTACCAGCTTAGAAGGAATTGATATTTTCAGATATTTTCATTATAGTTCAAAATATATCTTGAAATAGATGAACTGGTGTAGAGTATCAGTTTGCTATTTAGTTTTATGAATTGCTAAGCCATGCATAGAAATGAAAAGCTATACTGATAGATTTTAAAGAAAATATAAGGAAATGGCTATCTAGATATTAAATCAAGAAGGTCTTCAATAATAAATCACAGATAGGTCTTTTGCAATTCCAGTAGTTAAAAGGCCCCCAGATGTTAATTTATATGTCTTTGAAGGCTGCTAAAATTTATGAAGAAGACCTACCTAAATTTTTCTCCCTATAGAAATTTATCGTTTCTTAGGGATTATTTAAGCAGGAGCCAAAAGTAAATGGATTCTTCCACAAATAAGTATTAAGAAAAATTAATACTAAAATCAAGCTTTGTGCCTTTTAACCCTATTGCAAACTCCTAAACATATTGAGTAGATTTCAACACACTTATTTGATCACAGCATGATCTGGTTAGCCACATGCAACAGTGAGCAAAAATATAGCAGCAGGTAGAATATTCATTCTTAGACAATTCTGAGCTAAAGTCTGTTTACCAGTGAGTAACTCAGTTACTCCTATAAGAATAAGCTCCCTGTAATTAAATCCATAATTTAAATTATAAAAATCAGCTGGAAATTGAAGTTATGGGTGCCTATATATTGGATATGAAACTCCTTGATTTCTAGTCTTCTGTGTTTTAACAGTTAATAATATTTTAATTACGTTGTTTTATCTTAGTTAATGTAACAAGAGTGTGTGTGTGTGTGTGAATGCTAGTATAGTGTCACTGTTGTTTCGGGTTAGAAATTTTTTCTGAATGTAGTTAATTTATGGCATCTATTAAATAAAACTGCTAAAATGACCATTTGCTCCTTTAAAAAGTGTTCTCTTCTATCCCTTTTTCCAGGTGAATCAGTGGAAATGCCTAAATTAAATTAAATACACTGTAAACAATATATTGTCCTGGGAAACCTGAACATCCTAACCAATTGCCTTCTAGAGATGTGACCTTTAGAAGAAATAGCAATGCTTAAAAGAAAACTATAGTTTTAAATATTCTCTTAACTGCAGAATGAGTTTTTAAAAAATAACTTCTAATTAACTTTGAAGGTTCATATGCATCAGAAAATTTATAAAAGTTTCATCCATTTATTTTCTCAGTTTTAATAGGAAATTTGTATATTGTAGTCGATACTTGGTTGAACTGAACCTTCTTGCTTACTGATTCTTTTTCCCTTAATCCTGGCTTTAAGTGGATGGATCGAGTTAACAAGTGAAGTTGTGTATCGTGAACTCATACATGGCTTTTAGACAGTATTATATTTCACTTGTACTGCTGCATTCCATTTCATTTCATAAAATGTTAGAGAAGACGTGTTTGATAAAATAAAATTCTGAAACAACTGTGAGAAATGACTGATCAAGTGCCCTATAATTTAAGCCACATAGAAAGTATAGAAGTAAGAATTGGATCCTTCATGTCACCTCTATCATGGTATAAAGGCCTAGCCAAGCATCTTAAAATTTTTATATAATCCTACTGAGTAAGAAGCCTTTAACTATCTTGAGATGCAAGATTTTCATATTTGCTACTCTTTTATCATAAAAATTGTAAGATTTTGCTCATCTTTTAGCTACATGAGCTTTGCACTTCTATTTGATAATTGATACTGTTCATTTTAATCACTGCCTGAAAGCCCTCAATCTTTTGAGCATTGCTTTATTTCTAATTGGTGTTTTAGAAGTTTGGCAGCAATTATATTTATTAATGTGCATTTTCATCCCTTTCTTTTTTATACACAGACATACACACAAGCATCACTTTATCTTTGTGAAGGCTTGGGGAAAATGGAAATACCACTTCCTCCCCTCCTCTTGTTTATTTTGTTGCCAAATAGACTGGTGCTAATCATTTGTAGTTTTTAGAATTTATTTTGATCAAATGTGAAAACTTAATTTTCAACAATGAGAAATTCCCAGTTATAATCCACCTAATAGATGAAAATAATTTATTTTGGAGTGGACTGCAACTGCAACTGACTGCTTAAATAAGCATTTGTTTCATAATCATTACATGTTTATTTATGAATTGCAGTCATCTGGTAGAGAAAAGTAAGTCCTTAGGCATAGATATACCAGTGCATTAAAATTGCTTTTGTGTCAGCTCAGGGGTTCACAGAACAAGTATGTGGAATGCCAGCCCTGTACTTCAGTTGTACTTTTGTGCTTATTTTTCCTTCCAAACAAATCTTCAGTTGCACTAGTGTGTAAAATAGTTAGAGAGAAATGATTAACGTCTTGATTTGGGGAGCCGTGGTGGCACAGTGCCAAAAGCATTGGACTGCTAACTAGAAGGCTGGTGGTTCAAACCGACCAGCCACTCCTTGGAAGGCAGACTGGGCAATCTATTTCCGTAGAGATATCTCCTCGGAAACCCAAGGAAGGGTCGCTATGTGTTGGAATCGACTCAACGGCAGTGAGTTTGAGGTTTTTTTTTGGTTAGTCTAATATTTTAAAATGTAGGTATTATTGAAAAAGTAATGATATTTATATTACTTAATGTTTTCCTACATAGTTCTATAAAATAAATAAATCTGCCACCTGTGTTAAGGCAGTAGAATGTTCTTGAAGTGAAGTCTGAGAACCAAATGAGCCATCTTTCTAGCTAAGCAAGTAGTATGTGAAAGGACTTAATGATTCAAAAAGGACACTTTGTGCATTTATTTATTTATTTATTTAGCTTCCCTATATGAAGCTTGTATTCATTACTACCCATACTGCTATCCATCATTATACTTAGACACACTGAAAGGAGATTCATAATCTTTTTTCTCCCATATCTGAACAGAAAAACTTCTCAAAATGAACAATAAGTCTAAATAACTGAAAAACCTTGTCTTTTGGCCAAATAGGGCTATTGCCTAGTTTAAATCTATAAAATTCTCTACAAAATGAAAAGAGTAGTCTTAATAAAACTCATTGCCTTCAATTTGATTCTGACTCTTAAGAACCTTGTTGGACATATTAGAATTGCCCCATAGTGTTTCCAAGGCTGTAAATCTTTATGGAGTAGACTGCCTTATCTTTCTCTTGCAGACCAGTTGGTGGCTTTCTCAGACCTCCAGCCTTTCAATTAGCAGCCAAGCCCTTTAACCATTGTGACACCCTGGTTCCTCAGTCTTGAAATAACTTCCCAATTTTTTTAACCTAATTTTTAATTACAAAGAAAAAGTGAATAGAATGAAGCTCTTCAAGGAATTCTTACACATTCCTTTAATAATCTGACAAGCAACATAGTCCTAGAATTCAGACTTCTTTTTTTGTCTCATTTCTATTAAATAGGTGTTTTCAGATAAATGGAAGCATTTCTCCTCAAAACATTAATTCAAAACATACTCCTTATATTAAGGATTATGTAACCACATTTTTTGTAAATTCCCTGTGTGTAATTATTTCCTGTAAGTACAGAATTACTTTTCGTTTAACTCGATTATCTACTGGTTTTGGGGCCAATAGATTTGTGAATACTCTGTGGATGTGTCCATGTATAGGTATATATATCTATTTTTTTTTCCCCAGTTAATACAGTTAACCAACGTGTGATTGTTTAATATATACCACACTGTGTTTGCACAGAGCAGGGCTTCCATTAGCAGTGGATATTCTTATTTCTGACTTTGAAAATTAGTCCACAGAATTTCATTGGTATGAATCATTCTGTTGATCCTTTTCATATTTCAGTATAGACATTTCTATTATAAGGCCCATACTTCAAAGATAATTGCACCTTCTTGTATTTAGCAATCTGGAAATATGAGGGTAAGAAATGTTTCTTTAAATGTCTTACTTTAGTAAGTTACCATTAAAAACTGGAATTACTAGTTGCCAGGAGGTCTAGTAACAGCATAGGAAATGACACCTGACATAAATGTGAACAAGTTTCATTCACTTCAGTACATGAGTCAGAACATTCCAATCTGATACTTTGTCCTTTCAGAGCACCATTAAAATCATAGAGATTTTCAATGGCATTGATGTATTTTGATCATTAGTTTCAAAGTGAATGAGAAAGAAACTCATACGACATTTTGTAATTTATTTATATTGAGAAGTGCTTCTTACCTATTTTTGTTTCATGGCTTGTTTTTGACTTTTGAATTGCTACATGAGAATTTCTTTCCGTTTAAAGTTTAATTTGTGTTTTTAAAATCTGCAGGTAATTTGCAAGCTATGATGGAATTTTAATGGAAGCCTTGTATAAGCTAAATGAAGTGAAATCAGTAAAGATCTTACTTTATTTGTCTATAATGCATTCAAGATTACAAAATTAGGTTTAAAACTGTGTCTGATTTGTAATATATTTAATGTTATATCAGACTTCTATAAAAATAAAATTTCCTGTGTGAGAACTCTAAAATGGCATTTGATTTTTAGTGAAATGTTCTGCTGAATGATTTATGATGAATTTTTGTTTTTCAGTCTCTGTAGTTTATCTCAAATATATGAATAAAAAAGTCTGTTCTCACTGTAAAAGATGTAAGGTTTTATTATGTTTTATATTCTAAATATGTCCTTATTATTCAGCCATTCAACAAATCTATGAATGCCTGCTGTATCCCATGCAGTGAACCAAGTGCTGAGAATTTATCACTGAACAAGCCAGAAATCCTTACGAAGTTTACATCAATTAAGGAAAATAGATTTCAAATAAGTAATTATAATTATGACATTCTATCTCATTGAAAAATCAAAAACCAAACCTGTTGCCATTGACTCAATTCTGACTTACTTAGTGACATTATAAGACAAGAGTAGAACCGCCCCATAGTGTTTCCAAGGCTGTAATTTTTATGAATGCAGATTGCCACATCTTTTCCAGTAGAGTGACTAGTGAGTTTGAACC